TCGCATTACAATTGTATAGGCATGCATTTAAACAACGTATTATTTTTAACGCGTAGACTTTCGCGACCAATATCATCCATAATAGAGGGGTTTTTTTGGGGTTAGATCGCGTAAATATATAAATGTGGTGTCGTTAAACCCGCCACCACCCGACACAGCCAACTAGTAAAGGGTTGTCAGGTAAACAGAACGTGGCCAATTCGTTACTAGTACAGCACTAGTGTGTAGTGTAGTGTATAGTAGTGTAGTGTATAGTAGTGTATAGTGTAGTATACTAGTACAGCACTAGTGTATAGTGTAGTGTATTGTGTATAATAGTGTAGTGTATAGTGTCGTGTATAGTAGTACATAGTGTAGTATACTAGTACAGCACACCGGTGTGTTGGAGAGCCAAGCCACAACATTTACAATCTGAGTACGACCTGATTCGTTTCTTATATAGAGGCGTGGATGTGGTGTACAACATACATTATGCATGCGCATTTTGTGATGTTGTGGCTTGGCTCTCCAACACACCGGTGTGCTGTACTAGTATACTACACTATACACTACACTACTATACACTACACTATACACTAGTGCTGTACTAGTATACTACACTATACACTACACTATACACTACACACTAGTGCTGTACTAGTATACTACATTATACACTACTATACACTACACTACTATACACTACACTATACACTACATTACACACTAGTGCTGTGCTAGTGACGAATTGGCCACGTTCTGTTTACGTGACAACCCTTACTAGTTGGCTGTGTCGGGTGGTGGCGGGTTTTAACGACACATTTATATATTTATGCGATCTAACCCAAAAAAAACCCTCTATCATGGCCGTATTATTTGACGATTCGTAAGCAGCACTAAACCTGTAGCTATCTGAGCAATTATTTTTAATTCTCTCAATTTCGATCGATTCTCAAATGTTGATAGACGTTAACTATTTCGCCTGATGTACAGGAGGTCGTGGATTCCATCCTGACCCTGACGCCTGTTGTATATTTGGAGTTTGCATTTTCTCACCGTGTTCGTGTGGATTTTTGTTGGGTCTCTCCGGTTTTTCCCTCCACATTTACAAACGTGCGCTTCGAGTATTTGGCGCGCTACAAAATTCCACATCATAAGCCACTTCATTGGCCACGTCGCTTCTGAAAAAAGTGCTGTATAGCTCTAGTGGGCCTTACCTTGGGGAAATAAAATAGCAGCAAAATTGTTGCAATAGTTTTCACGGAAAAATAAAATTTGGTTAAGAAAAAACCTCGTTTTTCAATGCACACACTTTTGTTTGCACGCAAAAGTAGAAAATTATTTATTTTGACCCCAGAATTAATCAAAATTTACGTGCTCAATAACAGTGGGTGGCTTGCATAAAGAAAAGTAAACACCGAAAGCAAGCCACCCGCTTGTATTCAGCAATAACGTTTGATTAATTATGGGTTCAAAATAATTTCTTTTCTACTTTTGAGTGCAAAAAAGTGTATGCATTGAAAAACTACGTCTTTTTTTTACCAATTCTTTTTTTGCTACTGCTGAGACCAAACCAGAGAAACTCACGAGCCCAACCACCCCCTGTTTGTCGCTACTTTCAGTCGGGTTTGTGTGTGTGTGTATTTGTTTTAGTGTGGGGGGCGGTAGTGTAGTGGTCAGCGCTACGCTGCGCTACGAACCCGGCGTCCCGAGTCCGATTCCCGCTCACGGCCAACACCGGTGACGATTATCTGAACCGGTCCAGGGCCTGCCCTAGGTCGACTCAGCCTCAAATCAGTACCTATTGTAAACATCGCCACTTAGGAAGACAAAGGCGGCCGGGCGTGGTGTTGGCTACCCACCCCCTCGTGTGCCGTGCCAGCACTTGCCCCCACCAACCTGTTGAGGCTATACGGGGGCCCTTTGTCTTTGTTGTTTTCATATAAGTCTACTCAGCCTGAAATGAGTACCTGGTGCGGTGCGTCAACATCACCACTGGGGAGACAAAGGCGGCCGGGCGTGGTGTTGGCCACCCACCCCCTCGTGCGCCGTACCGGCCTTCACAGGTGCTACTCGCTAACAGCACTTGCCCCTACAGTCTGTTCCAGGCTGAACGGGGGATCTTTATCTTTTAGGGTTTTTTTATTTAACCAGGTTTCTGCGGTCTTGGTTTGTTCGCGAGCCTGCATCACAGTTTGTACGCGGCCGCTTGACACCAGCGAGATGCCATTGTGAGCGCGTTCTTCGCCACTCCGAGCAATTAGTACTTTTGTACTTTATTTCTTATTTATATACCGTATACTAGCTTTACTACCCGGCTTCGCCCGGGACTTGGATTCACCACGCGATGTTCACACACCACACCAATTACTCGTTTGAGGCTGAGTCGACCTAGGGGAGGCCCAGGACCGGTTCAAATAATCGTCACCCGTGGTGGCCGTGAGCGGGAATCGAACTCGAGTCGCCGGGTTCGTAGCGCTAACCACTACACTACAATGCGTTACGCTTCTACACGCGCGGGTCACATGACAGATGTGACGTCACAGCTCACTCGCCGTGCAAAGAAATATGCATTATTGAGCCCCCCCCACCCCCCCCAAATACAATTTTTTTTTTTACAATTGTTGCATGGTATACAGTCTGGAAAGTACCCACATGGCAAATTTCAAGTTTGTTGCATGTCGGGAAGTACGCTAAACATTTTGAACAGACACACATAATCACACATTTCCCTTTTATATATATGTGTGGAGAAGATAAACGTTCAGCGACTCTCTCAAATCTACGTGACGTTTTTGCCAGTATCGAGTATGAAAAATAAGAATCGTTTTTTTGTTTATCCTTTCTAGCAATAAAACAGTAATATGTTCAAACACCATCAAAGACAATGCATCAAATATCATTATTATTAACACATTGTCCTGCGGAGGGAGCTGGTAGGAACGTTGGGTTGCTCGGTCAATGGCCAGGGTCAACGGCGGCGTGGTGTATTCCGCAAATATGCCCGACTGTGAGGGCGGGCACAAGCCGGCGTGAGTAGGTTAAACGTTGAGTTTTATAAGGGCACCACGGGGTGACCAGCCCCTCCCCACCCAGCCCCACCCCTCCCACCCCCCACCCAGCCCCACCCTCCCCACCCAGCCCCTCCCCATCCAGCCCCACCCCTCCCCCAGCCCTACCCCTCCCACCCCCCACCCAGTCCCTCCCCACCCAGCCCCTCCCCACCCTCCCCACCCAGGCCCTCCCCACCCAGCCCCACCCTCCCCACCCAGCCCCTCCCCACCCTCCCCTCCCCACCCAGCCCCTCCCTCCCCACCCAGCCCCTCCCTGCACGACAGACGGACGGACACAATAATCCCCTGTGGGCTGGTGTAACCAGTATCAATTTGTTCGTATGTTCAGTATCGTGCGTGGTTAATACAGACCTGATTCCTTGCAAAAGGGTTTTTATTTGGTATTTGAACATCTTTAACACAACTCCTGTTTTATGGCCATGAAAGGGTAGAACCTATTCTCATTTTAAACTATTTACGACCAAACTATTTTTCATTGTACCAGGTAAGGCCCCGCTGAGTTGTGTGGCTCTTTTACAGAAGCGACCTGGCCACCAATGGTAGCTCAACGAAGTGGCTTTTCATCATCACGTGGAAATGTGGAGCAGCCAAACGTCACCGCGTGGTGACGTTCATTCTAAATGTAGAGGGACAACCCGGAGGACCTGGAGAAAAATCCACGTGACCACGGGGAGAGAGAGAGACACCGCAAACTCCAAATATACAGCAGCAAGCGTCAGGGTAGGAATCGAAATCCATGACCTCCTGTATACCAGGCGAGGTAGTTAACATCTCCTAGCCACCGTGATGATGATGAGGGAGAGAGACACGCAAACTCAAATATACCGCAGGCGCCAGGGTCGGGATCGAACCCATGACCTCCTGTATACCCGGCGAGGTAGTTAACATCTCCTAGCCACCGTGATGATGATGATGATGAGAGAGAGACACGCAAACTCCAAATATACAGCAGCAGGCCTCAGGATCGGGATCGAACCCACGACCTCCTATATACCAGGCGAGGTAGTTAACATCTCCTGTATACCAGGCGAGGTAGTTAACATCTCCTGTATACCAGGCGAGGTAGTTAACGTCTCCTGTAGACCAGGCGAGGTAGTCAACATCTCATAGCCACCGTTTTATCACTTCTCAGAGGGATTTTTGTTAATGAAAACAAAATCAACTCTCTACATCCCGTGTCAATAACACCACCCTGCTTGCGGTGTCTGATCATCGCCACTAGGGAGACAAAGGCGGCCGGGCGTGGGGCTGGCCAACCCACACCCTCGTGTGCCGTGCCGGTCTTCAATAGGTGCTGCTGCTGCTCGCTTACAGCACTTGCCCCAACAGCCTGTTGAGGCTACACGGGGGATCTTTGTTTAACACATAGGTTTTTCGCGACTACTACTCGAATTTTAAATGCGTTGTGTGGGTCTACTCTTCAACACACAACCGGTTAGTGCTCAACTCGCAACTAATTGGCACGTTTTGGTTTCCGTGACAAACCTTGGTGGTGGCGGATTGAACGTTAAAAACTCTCCAGTAACATTAAAAACTCTCCACGACATACACGTTTATCTTTAGGCGATTAAACCCAAACAAAAAACGTTTGCCTTCTGGGGGGGAATGTTTGTCTTCGTGCCAAAGTGCGTACGTAATTTATTTGGGTCTTTCACGTAGATGGGTCAAAAGAAAATCACACAAAAAACGACGACGTTTCGATCGCAACGCAATGCGATCGCTTGACTTTTACCGAATCCCTGCATTCACGAAAGCTTCGAGTCGAGATGCGTACGAATAAATGTGCGGATTGCATTCTGCTGTACACGTGATGTGTGGGTGGTGGTGGTGGGTGGTTCAAGGGTGTAATGACGCATTTAGAAGAATAAGGAGGAGGAATAGCACAGAAGGAGGAGGAGGAAGAGACCCCCCCCCCCACCCCTACGTTGAAACTGCCTCACCCCTCTCAGAATCGGCGAGCGAGCCAGCCGACAGCACCACCACGGGCAGACAGCGACACGGGAAGCTCGCCGCTTCGCCATGGCCACGGGTGTCGTCGGAGCGGTTCTCTTCCTCGTTCTAAGTCATCTCCACGGTCAGTGCGCTTCTACGTTGTCTCTTCTTGTTATCATTATTCTGGGGGGCTTGCTTTGTCAACGCCGCAGGGTGATTGATGCAAGTGAAGCTCATGGCTGGATTCCCAGGGGTCCCGTAAGCCCCCGGCTCTCGCATTAACTACGTTGCGACGTCGTTGAATGTCTGTTGAAGGCGAACGACGCGGTGATTTGTTCATCTCGACGAGCTCTACACGACGCGCTCATCGAAGTTTAAAAGTTTTGTTCACGACGACGGAATTCGTCCGCGCTGCTGCTGCGCTTGGACACGAAAACGGAACGATCCGCGCCACGCGGCGTTCGTGTGCGCGGTGGGACGGAGTCGCCAGAAATTCATTCATTACGATCTTGACTTTTCATCTTCTTGGTTCTTTCGGTAAAGTCACGTAGAAGGGAAATAATAAAAATAAAACATAATAAAATCATTCTCACGACGTTTCGGCCACAACGCAAGCAGCCGTCCTCAGGTGAAGAACAGGTCTGTCGGAAAGACAGCGTCTGAATGATCGTCGTCATAATTTTTTTTTATTATGTTTTATTTTTATTATTTTATTATTTCCCTTCTACGTGACTTTACCGAAAGAACCAAGAAGATGAATCCCTGCAGTCACGAAAGCTTTAAATCGAAACAATGCATATCTTATCAGAGTATGTTTTGTGGTTAATGCACACATGATTCCTTGTAAAAGGTTTCAGTTTGGTGTTTTAGCATCTTAACATCTGATTTAAAGCTTTCGTGACTGCAGGGATTCATATTCTTGGTTCTTTCGGTAAAGTCACGTCGAAGGAAAATAATAAAATAATATAAATATTTCGTTCTATATTTTTTTTATTTTATTATTTCCCTTCTACGTGACTTTACCGAAAGAACCAAGAATATCTTAACACCTGTTTTGTTGCTATAAAAAAGGGGATAAACCTATTATCCTCCTGTTTTAACGTCAACATTTTTTTTATTTTTCAACGACTACAATCTCACATCATTCAGGTGGTCAAGCCCAGACAACACCCGTGTGAGCAGGAGCAGTAGCGGAGTAGTCGTGTATCACCATCGCCACCATCATCATCGCTGCGAAATAACTCCAGTCACACAAGGATGTGTAGAACGGCTGATTTGGTCCACGGGTTAAATAAAATACAAATAGCCAGGTAAGGGCCCATTGAGCTCTGTAGCTATTTTTCAAAATCGACCTGGCAATCACAAATGATAGCTCGACTAAGTGGTGGCTCATCATCATCACCACGTGGATATTTATAGCAGCAGACATACTCTACGAACGCGTGATGATGTTGATTCGAAATGTGGAGGGGAAAATCCAGAGAACTCGGGGAAAAATCCACGCGACCACGAAGAGAGAGAGGCACACACGCAGACTCGAAATACACAGCAGCAGGCGTTAGGGTCGCGATCGAACCCACGACCTCCTGTAGACCAGGCGAGGTAGTTAACATCTCCTAGCCACCGTGATGATGATGATGAGAGAGAGACACGCAGACTCGAAATATACAGCAGCAGGCGTTAGGGTCGCGATCGAACCCACGACCTCCTGTACACCAGGCGAGGTAGTTAACATCTCATAACCACCGTGATGATGATGATGAGAGAGAGACACGCAGACTCGAAATATACAGAAGCAGGCGTTAGGGTCGCGATCGAACCCACGACCTCCTGTAGACCAGGCGAGGTAGCTAACATCTCCTAGCCACTGTGATGATGATGATGAGAGAGAGAGACACGCAGACTCGAAATATACAGCAGCAGGCGTTAGGGTCGCGATCGAGCCCACGACCTCCTGTACACCAGGCGAGGTAGTTAACATCTCATAACCACCGTGATGATGATGATGAGAGAGAGACACGCTGACTCGAAATATACAGCAGCAGGCGTTAGGGTCGCGATCGAACCCACGACCTCCTGTACACCAGGCGAGGTAGCTAACATCTCCTAGTCACCGTGATGATGATGATGATGAGAGAGAGACACGCAGACTCGAAATATACAGCAGCAGGCGTTAGGGTCGCGATCGAACCCACGACCTCCTGTACACCAGGCGAGGTAGTTAACATCTCATAACCACCGTGATGATGATGATGATGAGAGAGAGACACGCAGACTCGAAATATACAGCAGCAGGCGTTAGGGTCGTGATCGAACCCACGACCTCCTGTAGACCAGGCGAGGTAGCTAACATCTCCTAGCCACCGTGATGATGATGATGAGAGAGAGAGAGAGAGACACGCAGACTCGAAATATACAGCAGCAGGCGTTAGGGTCGCGATCGAACCCACGACCTCCTGTAGACCAGGCGAGGTAGTTAACATCTCATAGCCACCGTGATGATGATGATGAGAGAGAGACACGCAGACTCGAAATATACAGCAGCAGACGTTAGGGTCGCGATCGAACCCACGACCTCCTGTAGACCAGGCGAGGTAGCTAACATCTCCTAGCCACTGTGATGATGATGATGAGAGAGAGACACGCAGACTCGAAATATACAGCAGCAGGCGTTAGGGTCGCGATCGAACCCACGACCTCCTGTACACCAGGCGAGGTAGTTAACATCTCATAACCACCGTGATGATGATGATGAGAGAGAGACACGCTGACTCGAAATATACAGCAGCAGGCGTTAGGGTCGCGATCGAACCCACGACCTCCTGTACACCAGGCGAGGTAGCTAACATCTCCTAGTCACCGTGATGATGATGATGAGAGAGAGACACGCAGACTCGAAATATACAGCAGCAGGCGTTAGGGTCGCGATCGAACCCACGACCTCCTGTACACCAGGCGAGGTAGTTAACATCTCATAGCCACCGTGATGATGATGATGAGAGAGAGACACGCAGACTCGAAATATACAGCAGCAGACGTTAGGGTCGCGATCGAACCCACGACCTCCTGTAGACCAGGCGAGGTAGCTAACATCTCCTAGCCACTGTGATGATGATGATGAGAGAGAGACACGCAGACTCGAAATATACAGCAGCAGGCGTTAGGGTCGCGATCGAACCCACGACCTCCTGTACACCAGGCGAGGTAGCTAACATCTCCTAGTCACCGTGATGATGATGATGAGAGAGAGACACGCATACTCGAAATATACAGCAGCAGGCGTTAGGGTCGCGATCGAACCCACGACCTCCTGTACACCAGGCGAGGTAGTTAACATCTCATAACCACCGTGATGATGATGATGAGAGAGAGACACGCAGACTCGAAATATACAGCAGCAGGCGTTAGGGTCGCGATCGAACCCACGACCTCCTGTAGACCAGGCGAGGTAGCTAACATCTCCTAGTCACCGTGATGATGATGATGAGAGAGAGAGACACGCAGACTCGAAATATACAGCAGCAGGCGTCAGGGTCGCGATCGAACCCACGACCTCCTGTAGACCAGGCGAGGTAGTTAACATCTCATAGCCACCGCGGCTTTTCACCATGGGGAAATTTACAGCAGCAGGCAAATGACTCTCTAAAACGCGTGGCGCTGTTGATTCTAAATGTAGAGGGGAAACCGGAGGACCCGGAGTAAAATCCACGCGACCACGGGGAGAGAGAGAGAGAGACACCGCAAACGACTCTATGCTGGAATGGCCCCGCTCTGTATCCGCTCACTCTCCGCTCTCCCTCGATGGCAGGGGTGCGTGTCCGCTAGACGCAACATTACATCGTGGCACACAACACGGACACGAGAAGAGGAAATGCTGTCATTTATTTTACCACGCAGTAGCAGGCTTTCGCGACCAATATGATCCACAACTTTTTTGGGCTAAATCGCGTAATTATAAACGTGTCTTCTTGGTTCTTTCGGTAAAGTCATGTAGAATAGAAATGATAAAATAATAAAAATAAAACATAATAACATAAAATAATATATTATAAGTATTATTTCCATTCTACGTGACTTTACCGAAAGAACCAAGAAGATGAATCCCTGCAGTCACGAAAGCTTTAAATCGAAATATAAACGTGTCGTTAAACCCGCCACCACCCGACACGGCCAATTGATATTTTTGGCGGTACCCCGGGTTACTAAATAATACTAAACTACCGAGGCAATTCAATATTTTATTTCTAGGACACTATTTTTCCAGGGGTGTTACTTCACTCCGCGACTGGGGTACCAATCAATCCGACATCGGTGCCACTCCGCGATGTCGAAACGCAGCGGGGACGATTGCGCCGAAACCCTGAACGCTCGCACGCACCGTAGTAGTGGTGGTGCATCGTGTCCAGCTCGTGTCGAGATGAATCGATTGCCGCATCGCGGACCATCAACAGAGTAAGAATGACTCCGAGAGCCGGGGTACTATGTGACCCCGGGGTACCGCCATAAGGTTCAATTAGTGAGGTTTGTCACGTGAACGGAACATGGCAATTTGTTACGTTTCGACAGTAATTACAATCAGCATCACGTGACAGCCACACACATCTGGCTGTCGCCTGATGTTGTCGGTTGTAATTACCGGCAGTGTAAATGTTACCGTGGGTTTACTCTCCAACACACAAGCGGTGTGTAGCTGTACTCGTACCCTACACTATACACTACACTATACACTACACTATACACTACACTACTATACACTACACTACTATACACTACACTACTATACACTATACACTACACTTTACACTACTATGCACTACACACTACACTACTATACACTACACACTACACTACTATACACTACACACTACACTATACACTACACTACTATACACTACGCTATACACTTCTATACACTATACACTACACTATACACTACACTATACACTACTATACACTACAGACTACACTACTACTATACACTACACTATACACTACAATACACTACACTACTATACACTACACTATACACTACATTACTATATACTACACTACTATACACTACACTACAATTGTAAATGTTGTAGTGGGTTTAATCTCCAACACACAGCCGTTGTGTGTGGCTGTACTAGTAACGAATTGGCCACGTTTTGTTAACGTGACAACCCCTTACTCATTGGCTGTGTCGGGTGGTGGCGGGTTTAACGACACCGCATTTAATATATTTACACAATCTGACCCTATAAAAAGCGCTATGATCCTACATTTTGATTTAAAGCTTTCGTGACTGCAGGGATTCATATTCTTGGTTCTTTCGGTAAAGTCACGTAGAAGGGAAATAATAAAATAATAAACAAATATCAAACAATAAAATTCTTACGACGTTTCGACTGCAACACAAGCAATCATCACACCTGCAAAATTCTTACGTCGTGAGAATTTTCGAAACGTCGTGAGAATTTTATTGTTTTATATTTTTATTATTTTATTATTTCCCTTCTGCCTTCGGATGCCGTCTTTCCGACAGCCCTGTTCTTCACCTGAAGACGGCTGCTTGCGTTGTGGCCGAAACGTCGTGAGGATTGTATTTCTTATGTTTTATTTTTTTATTTCAGTTCTAAGTGACTTTACCGAAAGAACCAAGACTAATAATACTCTATGATCCTGTTATTTATATTTATTGTCCAACGATACGAACGATTCTGTCTTCACGATAACGATGAAGCATCGTTGTGCGTTCAGCTCCGTTGGCTACGTACGGTACAACATCGCACACACACACAGAACGACAAACATAGGAAGAACACCGTTTTTGTGTTTGTACGTCGATGGGAAGTTTGTGTGAGCCGTGGTGGTCACTCTTCACGCGCTGTGAGAGGCGTGAGTGGGTTTTGTGGCCGGGGCACTGCACTTTTCAGATAAAACTTCGAGAGTTTGACCGAATGTTTCCCCTCTACTCAACAACGGAAGATCGTTACCATCGATGTTTTTTTTGCGTGCTGGGGGGGGGGGTTGGAGGTGGGGGGGAGATGCCGCGTGAAGATTAAACTAAAACTATGATTTTTTTTATAGTAATAGGTTTTTACCCTTTCAACTGGTACAAAAACTGACACCTTTATACAAGGCATCATGTTTGCAACAACCACAACACAAGCAGCCAAAATGCAAACAAAAAGAAACAACTCTGATGATGATAATGATATGCACTGTCCTTGAAGTTGATTGGTCCACACCCGAGACAGCTTTTCTTAGAGCCTAGTCTCACATGGTGTTGTACCAGATGACGCCAAAAGGCGTACAACTCAAAAACAGCACACTATCAGAGTATTGAGAGCTCGGGGTAAGCATTTACACTATGAGACTTCCTTTACCAGTGGCAAAATATAGTAATAGGTTTATACCCTTTCAACTGGTACAAAAACTGGCACCTTTATACAAGGCATCATGTTTGCAATAACCACAACACAAGCAGTCAAAATGCAAACAAAAAGAAACAACTCTGATAATGATAAGCACTGTCCTTGAAGTTGATTGGTGTTGGACACCAATGGAGACTAGGCTCTAAGAAAAGCTGTCTCGGGTGTGGACCAATCAACTTCAAGGACAGTGCATATCATTATCATTATCAGAGTTGTTTCTTTTTTATTCTTAGGTTTTTTCGGTAAAGTCACGTAGGTAAAAACATTAAAAAGTAAAATAAAATAAAAAATCACGACGTTTCGGAGGCAACACAAGCTTCCGTCTTCAGGTGGTACCGTCACAGCCATGACAGCTGTATCAAGTAAATGAGAGATTGCAGGAGCTACCACTCCGTTTATATAATAAACAGAGATTGCAAGAGCTACCACTCCGTTTATTATATAATAAACGGAGTGGTAGCTCTTGCAATCTCTCATTTACTTGATACAGCTGTCGTGGCTGTGACGGTACCACCTGAAGACGGAAGCTTGTGTTGCCTCCGAAACGTCGTGATTTTTTTATTTTACTTTTTAATGTTTTTACCTACGTGACTTTACCGAAAAAACCTAAGAATATGAATCATTGCAGTCACGAAAGCTTCAAATCTAGAATTGTTTATTTTGTTTGCATTTTGACTGCTTGTGTTGTGGTTATTGCAAACATGATGCCTTGTATAAAGGTGTCAGTTTTTGTACCAGTTGAAAGGGTAAAAACCTATTACTATATTTTGCCACTGGTAAAGGAGACGTCTCATAGTGTATGATTTTTTTATTTTATAAGGTGAAGGGCCCCGACTGAGCTTAGTAGCTCTTATTTCAGAAGCGGCCTGTCCCATCACAAATGAGAGCTCGACGATTTACCATATATCGTCGTGTGGAAATGTGCGGCAGCAACCAAATAGCCTCTAAACGCGTGGTGGCGATGTCGATTCTAAATGGTGGAGGGGAAAAAAACAGAGGACCCGGAGAAAAATCCACGCGACCACGGGGAGAGAGACGCTGACTCCAAATATACAGCAGCAGGCGTCAGGGTCCGGATCGAACCCACGACCTCCTGTAGACCAGGCGAGGTAGCTAACATCTCCTAGCCACTGTGATGATGATGATGAAAGAGAGACACACAGACTCCAAATATACAGCAGCAGGCATCGTCAGGGTCCGCGATCGAACCCACGACCTCCTGTATAACTGGCGTGTTGATGATGAGAGAGAGGGAGACACAGACTCCAAATATACAGCAGCAGGCATCGTCAGGGTCCGCGATCGAACCCACGACCTCCTGCAGACCAGGCGAGGTAGTTAACATCTCCTAGCCACCGTGATGATGATGATGAGAGAGAGAGACACACAGGCTCCAAATATACAGCAGCAGGCATCGTCAGGGTCCGCGATCGAACCCACGACCTCCTGTATACCTGGCGAGGTAGTTAACATCTCCTAGCCACCGTGATGATGATGAGAGAGAGACACACAGACTCCAAATATACAGCAGCAGGCATCGTCAGGGTCCGCGATCGAACCCACGACCTCCTGTATACCTGGCGAGGTAGTTAACATCTCCTAGCCACCGTGATGATGATGAGAGAGAGACACACAGACTCCAAATATACAGCAGCAGGCATCGTCAGGGTCCGCGATCGAACCCACGACCTCCTGTATACCTGGCGAGGTAGTTAACATCTCCTAGCCACCGTGATGATGATGAGAGAGAGACACACAGACTCCAAATATACAGCAGCAGGCATCGTCAGGGTCCGCGATCGAACCCACGACCTCCTGTATACCTGGCGAGGTAGTTAACATCTCCTAGCCACCGTGATGATGATGAGAGAGAGACACACAGACTCCAAATATACAGCAGCAGGCATCGTCAGGGTCCGCGATCGAAACAACGACCTCCTGTATACCAGGCGAGGTAGTTAACATCTCCTAGCCACCGTGATAATGATGAGAGAGAGACACACAGACTCCAAATATACAGCAGCAGGCATCGTCAGGGTCCGCGATCGAAACAACGACCTCCTGTATACCAGGCTATGGAGTTAACATCTCCTAGCCACAAGTTGTATCTACTCTCCCACGGAGTGGCGATTATCTGAACTGGTTCCCCCATCGCCTCTGTACCTCCGCTTAGGTCAACTCAGCCTTAATTAAACTAAACTATTTGAAACTATTTAACTCTGGCTATCACAAATGACAGCTGAACGAAGTGAAACTTTACAGCAGCCAAAATTGCACAAAACGCGTGATGTTGATTTTAAATGTGGAGGGTCCACACGAGCACGTCAATGTGTGTTGGCATGTGTTCACGTGTGCTCCTATGTGTATGTGTGCGTGTTTACCATCACACACGTACACACACACGAATACACTGACACATACCGATACACTGACACACACACACCAATACACTCACACACACTCACCAATACACACAAACACCAATACACTGACACACACACACCAATACACTCACACACACACACCAATACACTGACACACACACCAATACACTGACACACACACACACCAATACACTGACACACACACACCAATACACTGACACACACACCATTACACTGATACACACACACACCAATACACTGACACACACACCAACACACACACACACACCACAACACTCACACACACACACCAATACACTGACACACACACACCAATACACTGACACACACACACCAATACACTGACACACACACTAATACACTGACACACACACACCAATACACTCACACACACACCAATACACTGACACACACACACCATTACACTGACACACACACACACCATTACACTGACACACACACACACCAATACACTGACACACACACACACCAATACACTCACACACACACCATTACACTGACGCACACACACCAATACACTGACACACCACACACCAATACACTCACACACACATACCAATACACTGACACACACACACCAATACACTGACACACACACACACCAATACACTGACACACACGCACACCAACACACACGTACACACACACCAATACACTGACACACACACCGATACACTGACACACACGCCAATACACTGACACACACACACCATTACATTGACACACACACACACACCGATACACTGACACACACACACACCGATACACTGACACACACCCCAATACACTGACACACACACACACACTGATACACTGACACACACGCACACTGGCACGCGCAGGTATCTCAAGCAAGGACGTCACCCTGCACGGCTTTGTGGGTCACGGCATCACGCTGCCCTGCGACTCATCCGACACGGGCACGCAAATCACGTGGACTAAAGACAAAAGTGAGAGTCGCGCGGAATCTTTGTGCAGATGTCAAAGTGCATCGTATCTTCCAGTGGCTTCCTGTTGTGTGTGTGTGTTGAATTTCTTTCGCACCGTACGTTGTCAACCGTGCTAAAGTATAATTTGCGGCCAGTGGGTTTTACCTGGTAAGATTAAAAAAGAACATAGTTTAGTGTTATTTGTAGATTTTGTACGTGATCTGTTTGCCGTTCCCTTAAATTTTCACTCCTATCTTGTTTATTATTTCGTATTTGTTTATTGTATGTAACGCCATGACTCCGTGCCCAGCTGCTGGACATCTGTGAAACAAAGAGCTTCATAGATCATCGGATTCCTCCTCCTGGAGTCCAAATAACGGTTTTCATTTCTGACTGGCACACTTTTGGGGCGGTAAAGAGCGAGTGGGAGATTTGTACTCCAGAGCAGCGTCTGCAAAAAGGGGCGACTCACAGTCGTAGACACATTATAGAGTAAACACGTGGTAAAGGAGTAGACACGTGATCGAGTAGACAGACTCGTGATAAAGGAGTAGACACGTGATCGAGTAGAAACCCTCTGAGCCACGGTTATTGGTTCCTAGAAACTGGCCGTCAAGAGAATGGATCGATAAGCGAGTCGAGGAAATGCACCTTAATTTGTACCGATAGCATCGAAGGTAACCCCTTTACAGCTCCCAAAAAAACTTTATAATGTTGACACGATGGATATTCTTGAGTTGAAGCTTTCATCACCGCAGGAATTCATACTCTTTAGTTCTTTCGGTAAAGTCACGTAGGTAGAAAAAACAATAGCTCACGACGTTTCGATCACCACACAAGCAACCGTCTTCAGGTGAAGACCTACGTGACTTTACCGAAAAAACTAAAAAGCACGATGGATATTAATACGCAAAAATACTTACGAAATTATAAACACGTAATTTTAAAAGAAACGTGGTTAATCAATGCATTAATTGTATTTACTGTACTTACTACAGCCCGTCGTTAACAGTAAGCGAACACATTGGGCTCTATGGTGGCATTGCACTACTATACACTACCCTATACACTACACTACTATACACTTCCCTATACACTACTATACACTACCCTATGTAGTGACATAAGAGGGGAGGGGCTGCTGGGGGCTCTGGGACCCTGGGTGGGCCAGGCGCTTAAGCCTCTTGGCACCAGGCGGTGGGTTCTCAGGCGGGTCAGACGCTTAATCCTCTTGGCGTCAGGCGTTGAGTTCCCAGGCGCTTAATCCCCTTGGCGCCGCCAAAGGGGGGGGCTGTGTGTGCTCTGTGGGACATCTGGGGGCGCACACGGCCCCACCCCTCGTTGGGGACTGGGCATAAAAGCGGAGCTCCCTGGACGATCAGGGCCAGTCGTAGCTCAAGACCCAAGACCCAAGACCAGCCATCGGAGGACCCTGGGACGCTGTGAGAGCCAGTGGTGGGACTCTGGAACTCCCGACTCTACGACCTTGTGAGGGCGAGTTCCAGAGCGTAGCCAGAGTAGTGTATCTAGGCTGTGTACCTAGGCTGTGTACCTAGGCTGTAACAGAGTATCAGGACTGTTGGAGAGTTGGAGTGTTGGACTGTTGGAGAGTTGGAGTGTTGGACTGTTGGAGAGTTGGAGTGTTGGACTGTTGGAGAGTTGGAGTGTTGAATCGTAATAAAGAAGTTACATCTACAAGTGTCTCCGGAACCCGTTACACCTATACACTACACTACTATACACTTCCCTATACACTACGCTACTATACACTACACTACTATACACTTCACTATATACTACTATACACTACGCTACTATACACTACACTACTATACACTACACTGTATACTACGATAGACTACGCTACTATACGCTAAGCTATTATACACTACACTATACACTACACATTGGACGCTATGGAGGCCCGTCGATAAGTGATTAGTCTCGATTTAAAGCTTTCGTGACTGCAGGGATTCATCTTCTTGGTTCTTTCGGTAAAGTCACGTAGAATGGAAATAATAAAATAATAAAAATAAAACATAATAAAATAATTCCCACGACGTTTTGGCCACAACACAAGCAGCCGTCCTCAGGTGAAGAACAGGTTTGTCTTACAGACTCTGTAAGACAGACTCTGTCTTATCGACAGACCTGGTCTTCACCTGAGGACGGCTGCTTGCGTTGTGGCCGAAACGTCGTGAGAATTATTTTATTATGTTTTATTTTTCTTATTTTATTATTTCCATTCTACGTGACTTTACCGAAAGAACCAAGAAGAAGTGATTAGTCGTTAACAGGGGTGTATTAAAAACATCTTTTTTAGAAAATAGAGAGAACTAAAGTCTTTATTGAGCAAGTCATGTTCGTTGCTGTTGTATCGTCCTGACCGCGTGCCTCCCCGACTGGACATCTGTGAAACAAAGAGCTTCACGGCTCATCGGATTTCTCCTCCCGCAGCGACAATAAAAGTCTCCGATTCCGAGGAACCGTCGATCGCACGCTCCGCCATCGGGCGCGCTACGAAAGTGGGCGCACGCTTCGCAAATGTTTTTTTCTGCCTCTCCTTCTTCTTTTGTACAGGTACAGAGAGCATCATCTCGAGATGGGGCACATTGATCGATAACAAAGATACGAATTTGGAGTTTGTGAGCAGCACCTTCGGAGGGATGCTAAACTCCCTCCGGCTGAAGAACGTGACGATGAACAATAGTGGAACTTACGAATGCAAGCTCACCACCAACATGGGGTCAAGAATAACAATCGTCAAACTGGTTGTGCACGGTGAGTGACACCCTGAGGTTGTGGCTAGGAGATGTTGACTACCTCGCTTGGTATGCAAGGAGGTCGTGGGTTCGAACCCGACCCTGACGATGCCTATTGTATATATGGAGTTTGCGTTGTCTCTCTCTCTCATTGTTCATCACGGTGACTAGGAGATGTTAACTACCTCGCCTGGTATGCAGGAAGTTGTGGCTTCGATCCCGACCCTGACGCCTGCTGTATATTTGGAGTTTGCGTGTCTCTCTCTCTCATCATCATCAAGGTGGCTAGGAGATGTTAACTACCTCGCCTGGTATACAGGAAGTCGTGGGTTCAATCCCGACCGTTACGATGCCTGCTGCTGTATATTTGGAGTGGTCGCGTGGATATTCCTCCGGCTCCTCCGCTTTTTCCCTCTACGTTTAGAATGGACGTCACCACGCATTTATACTTATTTGGCTGCTATGTAAATGTCCACGTGATGATGATGATGATAAGCCACTTCGTTGAGCTATCATTTGTGCCCAGAGCACTTCTGAAAAAGCGCTGTATATCTCAGTGGGCCTTTACCAAGTAAAATAAAAAAAATAGTTTAGTCTTATTTGTATATATTTTTTAAAAAGTGATTTGTTTACCTATCCTATACCTTTCACTCCTGTCGTGTTTCTGTATCGTTTGTTGGCTCCCCCTTTAGCTGGAGCATCTGTGTGCATGAAGAGCTTCACGGCTCACGAGATTTATTCCCACCACGATAACAATTTTTAACATCCCCCCTTCTATTTCGATTTAAAGCTTTCGTGACTGCAGGGATTCATCTTCTTGGTTCTTTCGGTAAAATCACGTAGAAGGGAAATAATAATAATTGTTTAATTTTTCTTATTTTATTATTTCCCTTCTACGTGGGATTTTTGCACACAGTGTTGGTGTACGGTGCTTTTTCTGCAATATTTTGCTGTCTTTTCTTGGATTTTCTGTTTGCACATAGTCACTATAAGATGTGTTCTTGTTCATGTTTTTGTTTTTTTGTTTGTTGCGGTTGCACCCGATTCAAGAGCCGAATGGCTCACAGGGCTATACCTAATACATGAACTTGAACTTGAACGTGACTCTACCGAAATAACCAAGAAGATGAATCTCCCCTTCTGTCCTTCTTCCCCCTTTACCCAGAATCCCCCGAGATCATTCTACCCAAAGTCCTCTTGGACGGCTCCGATGAAGCGTCCGTCGCCTGCCAGACACCGAAGGACGTCCGCTTAGCAGGCATGTCGTGGAAGCTGTCCAACGGAACAATGAGGCAGCAGATAAACTACCGGAACAACACTTCGACGGCCTTTCTCAAGCCGACGCCAGAGATGCACGGGCAGACCTTGACGTGCTTCGTCGAATTCTCCGGCGGCGTGGGGAAAGTGGAGCAGTCGGTCGTGCTCGACGTCAAGTGTGAGTTGTTGAGGCTGGGGAAAGTGGGTGGCGGGGGGGGGGGCACACATTACTGCTGGGCAGTTCGGGAGATGCGTCAATCCTCGGGCAACAACGGAGAAGCGGAGCGATGCTCGCAACAACAACGACGAGCGGAGCGCCGGGTGACACAAATGAAGCGAGTTGGTAGTTTATGATGCATTGTCTTTGAAACTGATTGGTCCATACCGGAGACAGCTGCTGTTCACCACAAGTAAGTGTGGTTAATGCAGATATGATTCCTTGCAAAAGGTTTCTGTTTGGTGTTTTAACACCTTAACACCAGGAAGGGTAAAACCTATTCTTCTTAGAATGTAGTGTATAGTAGTTTATAGTGTAGTGTATAGTATAGAAGTGTATAGTAATGTAGTGTATAGTGTAGTGTATAGTAGTGTAGTGTATAATGTAGTGTATAGTAGTGTATAGTGTAGAAGTGCATATTGTAGTGTATAGTGTAGTGTATAGTAGTGTATAGTCTAGAAGTGTATAGTGTAGTGTATAGTAGTGTATAGTGTAGTGTATAAATGTGTATAGTGTAGTGTATAGTAGTGTATAGTGTAGTGTATAATGTAGCGTATAGTGTAGAAGTGCATATTGTAGTGTATAGTGTAGTGTATAGTAGTGTATAGTGTAGTGTATAGTGTAGTGTATAGTAGTGTATAGTGTAGTGTATAGTGTAGTGTATAGTGTAGTGTATAGTAGTGTATAGTGTAGTATACCAGTACACTAACTGGTTGTGTGTTGGAGAGTAAACCTACTGCAACATTTACCATTGTAGTGTAGTGTATAGTGTAGTGTAAAGTGTAGTATATAGTGTAATGTATAGTGCAGTGTATAGTGTATATACTAGTAGAGCACTCGCCAGTTGTGTGTTGGAGAGTAAACCCACTACGACATTTACAATTCAAGTACCGTGACGTTTCGCCAGTAATCGCACTAACCAGCATCATCAGGCCAGAGCTAAATTTGTCTCAATTGGCTACATTTTTTTTCGTGACGAACCTTCACTGATTGGCTGTGTCGGGTGGTGGCGGGTTTAACGCACACCACATATAGATTTACGCGATCCAACCCCTAAAAAAACCTCTATTAAGGATAATATTTCTAGATTTGAAGCTTTCATGACTGCAAGAATTCATATTCTTAGGTTTTTTCGGTAAAATCACGTAGGTAAAAAATTAAAATCAATAAAAGTAAAATAAAAATAAAATAAAATCACGACGTTTCGGAGGCAACACAAGCTTCCGTCTTCAGGTGGAACAGTCACAGCACGATAGCTGTATCAAGTGATTTTATTTTATTTTTATTTTACTTTTATTAATTTAAATGTTTTACCTACGTGACTTTACTGAAAAAACCTAAGAATAAGGATAATATTGGTCACGAAAACCGTACTACTACTGCTGCGTGTTAAAAAAAAACTCTATTTATGAATTATTTTTCTTCCTCCCCCCCTTTTTTTGCTTAGACCTGACTTTGACGATCGTGGACGGTGGCGGCCCCCATCGCAAAGGTCAACAGAGTGTCAATCTCACTTGCAAAGCCAAGGGCAACCCCATGGCCACGAGCTACTCCTGGACAACGTGAGCCACGCAGACACAGAGACTAAGATGTTAACTCCCTCGCCTGGTATGCAGGAGGTCGTGGGTTCGATCCCGACCCTGAAGATGCCTGCTGCTGTATATTTGGATCGACTAATGACGTCAACCCTGACCCCCACCCCTTCACTTGATTGGCTAATAGCAAGATATGTAAGTCCAGTTCGCTTTGTTGGCACAACGCCCCCTGGTGGCGGTCACGGTGTTTATCTCCATATATATAAAAGGCAAAGTTGTGAATATGTGTGTCTGTTCAAAATGTTTAGCGTACTTCCCGACATGCAACAAACTGCAAATTTGCCATGTGGGTACTTTCCAGACTGTACACCATGCACAAATTATAAAATACACTTTATGGGGGGGGGGCTCAATAATGCATAGATTTTTTGCACGGCAAGTGAGCTGTGATGTCAAATCTGTCACGTGACCCGCGCACGTGGTAACGTAACGCGTTGTGGTGTAGTGGTTAGCGCGCTGCGCTACGAACCCGGCGACCCGAGTTCGATTCCCGCTCTCGGACACCACCGGTGACGATAATTTGAACCGGTCCTGGGCCTCCCCTAGGTCGACTCAGCCTCAAACAATTAACTGCTGTGGTGTGTGAACATCGCCACTGGGGAGACAAAGGCGGCCGGGCGTGATGAATTAAGTCCCGGATGAAGCCGGGTAGTAAAGCTAGGTTTGGGTTAGATCGTGTAAATATATAAATGTGGTGTCGTTAAACCCGCCACCACCCGACACAGCCAACTAGTAAGTGTTTGTTTCGTAAACGGAACGTGGCCAATTCGTTACTCGTACAGCACTAACCGGTGTGTTGGAGAGCAAATCCACAACATTTACTCATTGTAAATGTCCTCAGTACTATAGATTGTAAATGTTGTGGGTTGAACTAGTAACTAATTTAACACGTAGTAGAAGGCCGAACGCGACCAATATCATCCATAATGAGAGGGGTTTTATTGGTTAGAGCGCGTAAATATAAATGTGCCGTTAAACCCGCCACCACCCAACAGCAAATTAGTAAGGTTTTTCACGTAAACCAAAAGTGCCAATTCGTTACTGACACAACCACCCACCGGTTGTGTGTTGGAGAGCAAATCCACTACAACATTTACAATCTGAGTACGACGTTTTGCCAGTAATTACAACCAGCATCATCAGGCGACAGCCAGATTTGTGGAGAAATCCTCCTGTTTTCTTCTCAAATATGTTAGACATACCCAAGGGATGTCTAACATCGTTACAATTGAGTACAGTTTATCTCTCGTTTTACACGGGTGGGGGGAAGTGGGGTGTGAGTTGTATTCTTGAAAAAACTGCGCGTCACTCAAAACCTCGTAAGCTTCCCATAATTTTCCCCGTAATGAATCAAAGGAAGTCTTTGTGGATCGAACCTCATTCTCAAGTCAACACATTTTACCGGGTTAGCGCAGTACACGCAGTTTCATCTTTACAACACTACCACACGTGCATTAAAGACAGTCACAGCCCTATCATGGGACCTCCTTTGCCAGTACCAAAATATACTAATAGGGTTTTTTCCCCTTTTTTTTCTGGCAACAAAACTGATACCTTTTGCAAGGAATCATGCTTACATTAACCACAATACTTGCAGTCAAATGCAAACAAAAAACAAAACTCTGATATTTCGATTTAAAGCTTTCGTGACTGCAGGGATTCATCTTCTTGGTTCTTTCGGTAAAGTCACGTAGAAGGGATGTAATAAAATAATAAAAATAAAACATAATAAAATAATTATCACGACGTTTCGGCTACAACGCAAGCAGCCGTCTTCAGGTGAAGAATGAGACACTGCCAAGCTAGGAGCTTATATATAAGCTGGGTTGGAGGTGGAAGAAGAGCGCCTTAACAAAAAGAATGTGCATATCAAGAGGAATTTAGCATATTCATGGGAAATGCGTAGGAGGTGGGCGGGGGGGTTTCAAAGTCATATTATGCCCATGTATTATGCAGGATCAGCAGTACCAAGGGAGGGTGCAGGGAGTAGCATTAACAAAGGAAAGGAATGTTAATAGTATGTAGCTGCAGTTACTAAACAACCACGTAGAAAACTAAAGTATAAACTACATAAAAAATAAAGTATAAACTGCATAGCATCATCAGTATACTTACTATACTCTACAATAAGCTGAGTTACTAACAGCAAGTAATACATTACAATTCTACGTCGTGAAAAATTATATAATATGCTTCCATCTAAACTTTATTCTCTTACATCACACGAGCATACACCGTACTATATACTGCCATAGATAAACCCAACATTAAATTATATACTGTATTACTATAAACCACCCTAGTGTTATAATAAAATGTATATAGCAATACAGTATATAATTTAATGTTGGGTTTATCTATGGCAGTATATAGTACGGTGTATGCTCGTGTGATGTAAGAGAATAAAGTTTAGATGGAAGCATATTATATATTTTTTTACGACGTAGAATTGTAATGTATTACTTGCTGTTAGTAACTCAGCTTATTGTAGAGTATAGTAAGTATACTGATGATGCTATGCAGTTTATACTTTAGTTTTTATGTAGTTTATACTTTAGTTTTCTACGTGGTTGTTTAGTAACTGCAGCTACATACTATTAACATTCCTTTCCTTTGTTAATGCTACTCCCTGCACCCTCCCTTGGTACTGCTGATCCTGCATAATACATGGGCATAATATGACTTTGAAACCCCCCCGCCCACCTCCTACGCATTTCCCATGAATATGCTAAATTCCTCTTGATATGCACATTCTTTTTGTTAAGGCGCTCTTCTTCCACCTCCAACCCAGCTTATATATAAACTCCTAGCTTGGCAGTGTCTCATTCTTCACCTGAAGACGGCTGCTTGCGTTGTAGCCGAAACGTCGTGAGAATTATTTTCTTTTATTATGTTTTATTTTTATTATTTTATTACTTCCCTTCTACGTGACTTTACCGAAAGAACCAAGAATAAAACTCTGATAATTTATGCATTGTCCTTGAAACTGATTGGTCCACACCAGAGACAGCGTTTAAAGAAAGCTTTTAAAGAAAGGGACATCGAACATCACCGCACGCACCTTGCAAGGAGGGACCGAGTCAATTGAGCTGCGGGTGATCTCCAATGATCACATGCCGATTTAGATTAACCCCTTTATTATTAGAGAATTCATTTATTATTCGTTATAATCATCATCGTCGTGGTCATCATGGGGTTCACTGCAGTTCAAAGACTCAGTCGCCCTTAAACGGCGTGCTGTGAAATCAAACAATAATCATTGTAGGGAGAGACTTGATTCACTTTTCAGTTTTCAGTTTCATTTATTAGGTATAGCCCCGTGAGCCATGTGGTTCTTGACTCGGGTGCAACGGCAACAAACAAAAACATGAACAAAGAAACATCTTAAAGTGACTACGTGCAACAGAAAAATCCAGGAAAAAAGAGCAAAATCTTCCAGAAAAAACACCATATATCAACACTGAGCTGCGGTGATCCCAATGAATCATTGTAATAAATCATAATTCATTCTAATCGTCGTCGTTGTCATCTCAGGCCGAATTCCTCGAGGCTCTGGGAGACCACGAAGAACGGGATGACTATCGTGTTCGAAGACGCCATCTCGAGCAACGAGACAGGCCACTACCGCTGCAGCGCCACCAACGGATTCGTGAGCGCCTCGTCGCCGCTCTACCACCTCGTGCTCGAGCCCGACGTCGATGAAGGTGTGTGGACGAGGGCCCCTAGGTTGACTCAGCCTCAAAAATAGTCCTCAGTGCAGTGTGTAAACATCGTCACTGGGGAGACAAAGGTGGTCGGGCGTGGTGCTGGCCACCCACTCCGTCGCGTGCTGTGCCGACTTTCTTAGACGCTACTCGCTAACAGCACTTGCCCCAGCAGTCTGTTAAAGGTTACACGGGGGATGTTTGTCTTTGTTGATGTGTGTGCGGTGTGTGTGTGTGTGTACGGTGTCATTGTGTGTGTGTGCTGCTCGCTAACAGCACTTGCCCCAGCAGTATGGTAAAGGCTACACGGGGTGGTTTCTGGAAAGGGTGGTCGTGCACAGATGCCATATTCTCTGTCCGTCTGCTACAGCAGATGTATAGGGAATTCCAACAAGACCTACATCTCTGCTTTATTGACTTGGTCAAGGCCTATTATACCATTGGGCTCTGGGTTGTTCTTTGTGTGTTAGGAGTCCCTGACCCACTGCTCACAAACATTAAGAACCTTAATGATGGTGAGCGGGCCCAGGTAAAACTACTTGGCTGGGAGTTGGAACCATTCTCTGTACACCTTGGGGTGCGACAGGGATGTCCTCTGCCTCCCACATTATTTAACATCTATTTCGACCACGTAGTTCGTGAAGCCTTTGATGGCTGTACCGGGGGAATTTCCATCTGGTACAATAGGAGGCTGATAAATGCCCGGGTGCGCTCAACCATGTTATGTATGTCAATGATCTGGTAATTGCCGCTCACTCAGAGGAGGAGTTGGAGGCGCTGCTGCTGAACCTGGAGCGAGTCACTAAGAGGTGGGGCCTTACCATCAACCCCAACAAAACTAAGCACCTGCCTGGGTATTTTGTACCATTGGACACTCCACCCCCACAACTACCAATTGGTGATGGGGCAGTTGTGGAGAGAGTGGAGAGTTTCCCATACCTGGGCAGTGTAATCATGACCGGCTCCGGTTTGACAACAGAGGTCTTACTCCGAATCAGTCGAGCGGCATTATCTTTTCATTGGTTGCGTAACGCTGTGTGGAAGCTACTTGATCTGTCGTTCCGCACGAAGCTTCAGGTCTTCTCGGCCACGGTCATTCCCTCCCTTCTCTACGCTTGCGAAACGTGGACCCCTCCTAATGGAGCATCTTGGCCGGTTGGAAACATTTAGGCTGGCCTGCCTACGATCCATCCTGGGTTTAACCAGGCTGGATTGTATGAGGAGCTCACAAATCCTCGAAAATTCTGGAGAAAGTCCCATCGGTGAGTAAGGATGCGTTGGCTGGGTCATGTAGTCCGCATGCCCAGTCACCGCATGCCCAAACAGCTTTTGTTTGTTTGGATCGAGGGGGCTAAACGGGCGCGGCATGGGCTAGAGAAGAGATGGAGCGATGTGGCACAGGAGGACGTGGAGCTGAGTGGACTTGCCGATGACTGGTACCAGCGGTGTCAAGATCGGCCTCAGTGGAGGAGGCTCGTGAAAGACGCTACTGGGCAGTTGGAGGCAGTCGCCCTCCAACAACAACGGAGGGCGGAGGAGCGACGCTCACAACAACGAGCGGAGCACCAGGTGGCTAAAGCACGGCAAGTTGGCACAGTAGGGGACACAGGTGGTGCATCAGCCAGTCATCTCGGTCATCTCAGTCAGTCAACCCGTGGCACCTGCTAGGTCTGCCCCGTGACCTCTTGCCAGCGGGCGTTCGACACTTCACGTGGCCTCAAGGTGCACCTAGCCTGGCACAAGCGTCGTGGTGACGTCACCGCCACTTAGTGGCGAATGGCGGTTGTTGTTGTTGTTGTTGCCCGCTAACAGCACTTGCCCCAACACTTTGTTAAAGGCTACCACGGGGGGTCTTTGTGTGACCGTGTTGCGTGCACTCCAGGGTCCTGGGATGAACTCATCATCTACCTGGGCTGCCTGGCGGGCGGCGCGCTGATGTTGCTGATCGTGGTGGTGGTGTTCGTGTGTCGGCACAAGCGGCCCACCAACCCGTACCTGGACGAGTACGTTGACACGAGTGCCAGGTGGTACTACAGCAGCAGCCAATGTATCGTAGCGTCCCGTGATAAAGAAGTTCAGTATAGATACGGTCCATCGGCCGTATAGATGTTGGGCGCCACTGTGGCTAGGAGATGTTAACTACCTCGCCTGGTATACAAGAAGTTGTGGGTTCGATCGTGACCCTGACGATGCCTGTATAGTTGGAGTGTGCATGTTCTCGCCGTGGTCGCGTGGATTTTGCCCCGGGTCCTTCCGGTTTTCCCCTCCACATTGAGAATCAACATCACCACCCCACGTGTTCAGAGTGATTTGGCTGCTGCTGCTGCTATAGAAAATTATCCACGTCACGACGATGATGAAGCCGCCACTTCGTTGAGCTATCATTTGCGATGGCCACGTCGCTTCTGAATAATAAGCTCAGAGCTCAGCGGGGCCTTAAGGGCCGTCCATAAATGACGTCACGCGATTTTGGATGATTTTTGACCCCCCCCCCCACCCCCTCGTCACACGGCGTCACAATAAGTCAGACCCCCCCTCACATATGACGTCACAAAGCTCTGCCCCCCCCCTTTAAACTATTGGCATTGTTGCGCGTATTTAATGTGGCGCTGCACTCTGATGTTGTAGGAGAAAATATTTATCAAAAAGTCTATTTAATTAAGTAGAACGTGTTGTCTATATTTATTAAAAGTTGCGCATTTTGATGTGACGTCACATTTCTGAAACCCCCGCCCCCCCCCCTCGTCACACATCGTCACAAATGTCTGACCCTCCCCCCCCCCCAGATGCGTGACGTCATTTATGAACGGCCCCTTACCTGCTAAAATTAAAATAGTAACGTACTATATGATCGCTGGGAATTAGTAAAATGCCTATTGATTGTTTTTTTTCCATCGCACGATTCGATTCAGGGGCTTCCTTCATGGGCACAAAGTTTAGAACGCGAATTCCACCCCCTCGGATTGCTCTGTGCGCCCTTATCGACGATTTGTTGTTGTTGTCGTTCCAACAGAAGAGACAGCACCCCGATCCACAAGCCCGCACCACCCCGGAGACTGCCCAACGCTGGCGATGATGGGAACCTCGAGGTGGGGGTAAGGAAGGAGGCACGCACGCGTCACCCACGTCTCGTGCGTGAACCCATCCGTGCGGACTCGCGAGCGTCACCACCCCCCCCCTCCTCCTGCCCCGCCGCATCCCCACCTCCCACCCCCCGAGTGAGTGGGTGGATGGATGTGTGAGTGGGTGGATGGATGAGTCAGTGGACGAGTGAGTGGATGGATGAGTGGGTGGATGGATGAGTGAGTGGGTGGATGAGTGAGTGGACGAGTGAGTGCATGGGTGGATGAGTGAGTGGGTGGGTGGGTGGATGAGTGAGTGGATACGTGAGTGGGTGGGTGGATTAGTGGGTGGACGAGTGAGTGGATGGATGGGTGGAGGAGTGAGTGGATACGTGAGTGGGTGGACGAGTGAGTGGGTGGGTGGATAAGTGAGTGGACGAGTGAGTGGATGGGTGGATGAGTGAGTGGGTGGGTGGGTGGATGGATGAGTGAGTGGGTGGGTGGGTGGACAAGTGAGTGGGTGGGTGAATGAGTCAGTGGACGAGTGATTGGATGGGTGGATGAGTGATTGGGTGGGTGGGTGGATGGATGGACGAGTGAGTGGGTGGGTGAATGAGTGAGTGGATGGGTGGATGAGTGAGTGGGTGGGTGGGTGGGTGGATGGATGGATGAGTGAGTGGGTGGGTGGGTGGACGAGTGAGTGGGTGGGTGAATGAGTCAGTGGACGAGTGATTGGATGGGTGGATGAGTGATTGGGTGGGTGGGTGGATGGATGGATGAGTGAGTGGGTGGGTGAATGAGTGAGTGGACGAGTGAATGAGAAATAAAATGCAAACGAAAACAATGTACTTCATGATTTGTTGACTGTTGATTCCCGTTGTGTTGTTTACGTGTTTGTTGCAAGGTGGTCTATTCCGGCCCGTTGCCCCAACCTCATCCGCATGGAAGATCGCCGGTGAGTTTGGCAAAAAAGACAAAATGTTCGGTTTATTTTCGTCATTTTTGATTCCCGATTCGATTTACATCGCCGCTCGTGATCGCCGCCGAGGAATCCATTGGGAACGGAGCGGAGCCACGATCTCCCCCACCGCAGAAGCGGATATCACAGAACTACGGTGGCTATGAGATGTTAACTACCTCGTCTGGTCTACAGGAGGTCGTGGGTTCGATCCCGGACCCTGACGATGCCTGCTGCTGTATATTTGGAGTTTGCGTGTCTCTGTCTATCTCTCTCCACGTGGTCGTGTGGATTTTTTTCTCCGCGTCCTCGGGTTTTTCCCTCCACATTTTGAATCAACGTCACCTGCTTTAAAACATTCGGCTGCGATGAACTTCAACGTGACGATAAGCCACTCCGTTCAGCTATCATTTGTGGCCAGCTCACTTCTGAAAAAGAAGCTAATAGCTCAGTGGATGAGTAGAGGGTTCTGTACCGGATAAGACGAGGGTTCTGTTTCGGATGAGATGGGGGTTCTGTATCGGATGACAATTGGTCGAAGGGACGTCGTACGGAGACATGCAGTGTTGGGTGTGATGTCATCTTTGGGATTGTGGGTGCACGACTTTTCTCCGGCGTTGTCACAGCTGGCCACGCCGTTGGTCTTTTTGCAGAGGCCGCAGCTGAGAAATCCGCTCGCCTTCTCGTACCTGGAGGCTCACAACGGAGATGCCGACAACATCGTGAGTCATCGCTCCCTCAACACCCCGCTTTGAGCCCTGGCTAGCCACTGCGTCCGCGAGCCTGTGACGGTGATGTTGTGACGGTGATGTTGTGACGGTGATGTTGTGACGGTAATGTTGCGACGGTGATACTTGATTTATGAAGAGGTACGTCGGTGGCTAGGAGATGTTATCTCCCTCGCCTCGTATGCGGGAGGTCGTGGGTTCGATCCCGACCCTGATGCCTGCTGTATCTTTGGAGTCTGCGGGTCTCTCTCTCTCTCCCTGTGGTCGCGTGGATTGTTTTTCTCCGGGTCCTCGGGTTTTTCCCTTCACATTGAGAATCAATGTCACGCGTTTAGAGTACTTGGCTGCTGTACCCATTTAAGTCCAGGTGATGATGATGATGAAAAGCTGCCACTCCGTTGACCTATCATTCGTGATTGCCAGGTCGCTTCTGAAAAAGAAGCTAATATTGATTTAAAGCTTTCGTGACTGCAGGGATTCATATTCTTGGTTCTTTCGGTAAAGTCACGTAGAAGGGAAATAATAAAATAATAAGAATATAAAACAATAAAAAATCTCACGAAGTTTCGACTGCAACACAAGCAATCATCACCAGGTGTGAAATTTTTCTTGCTGTGGATTGCTTGTGTTGCAGTCGAAACGTCGTGAGAATTTTTATTGTTTTATATTTATATTATTTTATTATTTCCCTTCTACGTGACTTTACCGAAAGAACCAAGAATAAGAAGCTAATAGCTCAGTGGGGCCTTACCTGGTAAAATAAAATAAATGTTCAGTTAAAATATTTACTAACAAGATAAAGGCACAGCCCTGAAAGTGCTTGCTCACGCCACTGCTGGAAGTAAGGGCCTCCTCCACTGTTGCGAACCCAAGCTCCAAATACACAATGGGTATCAGAGGGTCGGGATCGAACCCGCGACCTCCTGCATACCAGGCGAGTTAGTTAACCATCCTCTTAGGTTTTTTTCGGTAAAGTCACGTAGGTAAAAATAAATAAAATATTATATAACTAATTATATAAATACAATTACAAATCACGTTTCGGAGGCAACACAAGTCTCCGTCATCAGGTGGGACCGTCACAGCTGAATTCACTGTATTAAGTGAGGAAAAAATACAAATTAAGGGGGAGAGGGAGGGGGGGTGTTGCCTCCGAAACGTCATGATTTATTATTTTATTTCTATTATTATTTTTACAATATTTTTATTTTATTATTATTTATTTTTACCTACGTGACTTTACCGAAAAAAAACCTAAGAGTATGAATCCTTGCAGTCACGAAAGCTTCAAATCTAGAGTTAGTTAACCGCCAGGGCGCCCATAACACACCACTAACGTCGTCATCACGTTTGTACCCTGTCTGTTGTTTGCAGTCTTCGACGAAGACAGATCCAGAGGATTATGATGATGTCGAGGTGCGATGAAGTGGGCCGACCGACGAGTTTTGGGACGGGCGAATTCTCCGCTTGTTGATTTTTTCATTTTTTTAAGGGACACACGTTTTTTTTGGAGGTTTTTTTTCGAATCGTTTGCACTCCGTGAGGTCACGGGCGTGACGTCACTTCCTGCGACGGCAAGGTTTTCCGAATGCCACTTTAGAGTATGAAAAATAAGAAAAGGTTTTACCGCTTCAGCCAATTAAAAACAGGAGTTGTGTTAAGATGTTCAAACACCAAATAGGAACCTTTTGCAAGGAATCCAGTTACCGCATTAACCACACATGGCACTTGTAAATATGCAAACAAAAATGTTCTGATAATACATGATGCATTGTCTTTGAAACTGATTGGCCTACACCAGAGACAGCTTTCTTTATGGCCGAGTCTCACCACCAGTGTCAGACCAGAGAATGCCAAAAGACGAACAGTAAAAAGACAATGCAAATATTATTATACTGGTAGGAACCTCCTGGTTACACCAGCCCACAGGGGATGATTGTGTCTGTCCGTCGTGCAGGGAGGGGCTGGGTGGGGAGGGAGGGGCTGGGTGGGGAGGGGAGGGTGGGGAGGGCCTGGGTGGGAAGGGTGGGGCTGGGTGGGGAGGGGAGGGTAGGAGGGGCTGGGTGGGGAGGGTGGGGAGTGACTGGGTGGGGAGGGGCTGGGTGGGGAGGGTGGGGCTGGGTGGGGGGTGGGAGAGGTGGGGCTGGGTTGGGAGGGGCTGGTCACCCCGTGGTGCCCTTATAAAACTCAACGTTTAACCTACTCACGCCGGCTTGTGCCCGCCCTCACAGTCGGGCATATTTGCGGAATACACCACGCCGCCGTTGACCCTGCAGGCCATTGACCGAGCAACCAAACGTTCCTACCAGCTCCCTCCGCAGGAATGTGTTATCAGAGCTTGTTTGCATGTTCACCACAAGTACGTGTGGTTAATGCAGACATTATTCCTTGCAAAAGGTTTCTATTTGGTGTTTGAACATCTTAACACAACTCCTGTTTTATTGCCAGAAAGGGTAAATCCTATTCGTATGTTTAAATATTTTACAGATCGTCCAAAAATTCCATGTTGTGGCCCGATTTTGGGATTAAGTTTGAAAATGAGGAATACACCCCGACTTTAAAGACTCAGTAATTGTCTGATAACACATTTCATATATATGTACGTGTGTGTTGATCCTCTTTCGCGCGGTTGCTAACTATCGGAGGTGAGGGCCAACTGTTTTGAGATTCACCCGTCAGAGTCTGATCGGCACATTGGCCACCTCCGATTTGGCGCGGTCGGCTAGCGTATGGTGCGAGAGAATTTCAACATTCGTACATACACATCCAATAACAATGTCTGCGTAAACGCGGCAAATCTTGCAAGTCATCGGTCATAATTCGAGCGACACATTAGCCACGTGTAAATATGCAGAGGATGGCAGAGCTTGGGCAATGGTTAGTAGTGGCAGATCCTCGCAACCGCGTGGCTGCTGCTGCTGCCTCTGCCGCTCCTTGCCTGTGGTTCCTCCTCCTCCTGGCTCCTCCGAGTCGAACCCCCCCCCCCCCGACTCTCTACGCGAGCGACGAACGGGCACCGTGCGCGTTACAAGCTGACGTTATTATATTGGTCGCGAAAGCCTACGTGTTAAACGGACATTATAGTTCATAAGAGAGGTTTTTTTTTTGTTAGATCGCGTAAATATAAACGTGTCGTTAAAGCCACCACCACTCGACACAGCCAATTAGTAAGGTTTGTCACGTAAACAGAACATGCCGATTCGTTACTAGCAGAGCACACAAGATGTAATTACTGGCGAAACGTCGTACTCAGATTGTAAATTTCGATTTAAAGCTTTCGTGACTGCAGGGATTCATCTTCTTGGTTCTTTCGGTAAAGTAATAAAAAATAATAAAAATAAAACATAATAAAATACAATTCTCACGACGTTTCGGACAGCTGCTTGCGTTGTGGCCGAAACGTCGTGAGAATTGTATTTTATAATGTTTTCTTTTTATTATTTTATTATTTCCCTTCTTACGTGACTTTACCGAAAGAACCAAGAAGACAGATTGTAAATGTTGTGGATTTGCTCTCCAACACACCGGTTAGTGCTGTACTAGTGACGAATTGGCCACGTTCTGTTTAAGTGACAAACACTAATTGGCTGTGTCGGGTGGTGGCGGCTTTAACGACGCATTTATATTTACGCGACCGAACCCAAAAAACCTGTATGATGGATATTGGTCGCAAAAGCCTCCTACTTGTTAAACATTATTATTGTTGTTGTTATAAAGTGTACTTGAAGGGACAGTACTTCGGAAACATTTGCTTCATCACATTTGCACTGTAAACTCGGCCTGCGGTCATCCCGTGGTGGGACAGAGAACCGAGGTGACTGAGGGTACGGCGCTGCCGCTGCGTTACTGCATCATTCTGCTCATTAAAGTAGTTCGTCGTTGACCACTCGCAGACCGCGTCATAACGCGTCGTAACGCGTCATAATGGCATTCGCGTCATAACGCGTCATAACGCGTCGTAACGTGTCGTAATGGCGCCCGCGTCATAACGCGTCGTAACGCATCGTAACGCCGCTCGGGTTAAAAGGCCGCACGCAGTACGAGCACACCAGCGCGTTGAGCGACAATTTTATCCGGAAGTTAATTAGGAAACGAGGCTTGACGCGGTGTCTCGTACAAACGCTTTCACGGAGGTTTAGCCGGCCGCAGTGGAGGCCCCATCGTGCATGCGACGACAAAGCGTCGTCCGAGACTTTTCGCCAATACGAATCTCGTCAAAACGTTTCGCAATGTTGCCCTGATCAGCTTTGCTAAAAGTGTGTCCCCTTGTCTGGGCCCATTTTTGACGTGTATTTTGGTACTGACCGGTAGCTGCACGAAGTCACATTTTAATCTGTCATACATTGCAGCTCCTGAGGGTTAATAATATCGGTTTGATTGCCACACGCTGGAGAGAGAGAGAGAGAGCAGGTGAGAAAGTGCTGCCCGCTACTACTTTGTGTGTGGATCAGAGATCACTTTCAGAAGAGATCTCAGAGGTAGCTTCCATGATATCCATTTACGTGGACCGTTCTGTTTGACTACTAGCATCACTAGACGAAGAATGGATCTCAGAGGTAGCTCTGTGAAAACCACTTCCGCGCGCCGTTTTGTTTGACCATTAGCATCACTAGATGGACAGGGGATCTCAGAGGTAGCTTCCACGGGACCAATTTCTGAAAGCTTGCGGCTCGAGATTACACCGCTGTTGGTAGCTACCCGTAAAAATATAAATATGTAAGAATTAAGAAAGCTAAAATTATTTTTAAAAAGTATGATGTATCGTAAGTGTGATCTCAACAAGAGCATTTTACCATTTCCTCTGAGTTATAAGACACTTCGGAAAGTAAGATGCATCCCAGACGTGTGTGTTCCCCGTGTTCACAAAATTAAAAATATCTTGTTTCACGCAAGACGAGACAAAGATCACCCATACGAACAATAAGGATAGATTTTACCCCTTTTTGGCAATAAAACAGGAGTTGTGTTAAGACGTTCAAACAAAAAATGGATACCTTTTGCAAGGAATCAAGTCTAACCACACGTACTTGTGGTAAACGTGCAAACAAACATGCTCTGATAACACTGGTCAACAACAAAAAAAAAATTTTTCTGGCCTGGACTTTTGCAGCTGTTTCAGACTAATTTCAGGGTGCTGATTCCAAATCTGATCTCAGATTTGCTCTATCACATTATTTTTATGCTATCGGCATACCCCATTTTCATTGATTTTACCCGAAATTAACTCTGTCACTTATGATTGCAAGTTGTTGCGAATCAGTGACTGCTTTAGTGTTAAAATACGGTGCTGTATTTTTAGGATAGTGTGTTTATAATATCATTTTATGTAGATATCCACATTTATTTAATATTTTTCTTCTGCAGTTTTTATTGAAAATGCAATATTTGATATCTCAAAAACCTGATGTGATAGACAAAACTGATGCCAGATTTGGAATCAGCACCCCAAAATTACCTTAAACTCGTTGGAATACCTTGTGCCAGAAAAAGTGTGTTGACCAGTGTAATAATAATATCTGCATTGTCTTTGAAACTGATTGGCCTACACCAGAGACAGAAGCCTTCTTTTGGGCCTAGTCTCACGACCAGTGTCAAACTAGAGAACAACGCCAACAGGACAATGCACTATTAGAGCATTTATAGCTCGGGGTGAGCCTTAACAGGCTGTTGGGGGAAATGCTGTTAGCGAGTAGCACTTATGAAGGCTGGCACGGCACACAGACACCCGCACACACACATACACCTCCCATATAAGATACTTGAACATACTAGAGTAACAAAAACGTGGCTCTCGTTGTCCAGATAATATGCTATCAGTTCTAACATATATTTTTGTATAATTGTTTTTGCATGTATAAATTGCATTTTATTAACCTGTTGTCAATGATTGTACCGAAAAAAACAAAGAGTACTGTTGTCAATGAGTTTATCGCCTGTGTACTTGTCAAGTTTGTAATGGTCGCCATTGCGTGAAAATGTAAGTGTGTTCTGAACTTCATTGCGAACTAACCTGATGTGGGTGAACGCTGGCTTTTGAGAGTTTTAAAAAACGTCTTGGCCATCCCCTCCAATTGCGTGGACGAGGCGAGGTGGGGGGTGCGATCACTTAAAGAAGAAGAGGAAAGGGAATTCAGAAGTAGTTCTGCATAAGCCACTTCCCCTTGAAACCACTTCTTTAACACGGATGAGCCAACGCCAAATTGTATAATTTTCTAAACAATATGGGGTTAGAAGTTTCGTTCATTTAAAATTAACAACGAAAGGAAGATGTGTAATATTTTTGTTCGTACAATTTATATTTGACTGTGCGTGGGGGGATGGGGTTCACAGCCTTTCCCGAATGTCGCTTTAGAAAGCTTTGCATTGTATCCACTTTAAGCATGTATCTATGTATGTATCGAAACAACAACATCAAGTGCATTGTGTCAATAAAACGAGTTTTTTAACATTCTTTGACATTCGCTCCGCCTGACGCGGTTGTTGTCCGGGTTTGACCACCTTGAACGTGAAATTGTAGTCGTTGCTCTCATGGATGGAAAAAACCCGATTTTTCCAGCGGCAGGCATCGGGTTTTTTCTTTAATACAATTAAACCCGATTTCGGGGAATTAAAACCTGGTTTAATGAATACGAAACTCTGATCCAAGGCTTAGGCTGCTTCCTCGTCGGTGCTGCTATCGTACTCGGAGGGGCCGTCGGGCACGGGTTAGTCGTAGAATGCGGCGGGCAGGTTGGTCTTGATGAACACGAGCTTCTCCTCCACAATTGTGGGCGCCAGTGAATTCCTTAACTTGGAATGGATGAAGCCCATCGTTGAGAAGTTGGCGAAGTGCGGTTCTGCAATTAGAACCAATTAAACCGGATTTATCCCAATCTCAGATGATCGGGTTTAATATAAAAAGACAATTAAACCCGATTGTAAAAAACCCGACTGTGCCACCCTCGGT